CGAGGGCAAAAAAGGGGGAGGAAGCTCCCAAGGTCTTTAGGTCTCAGGCGTCCATTCCACATATAGCGGGTGGGAGGGGCATCCTGCGGGTGTTCCCCTGGTTCCTGTCTGCAGGCGAGAACCAGGCAAGGGGTAGGATGCTGATCCAGGTTTTGCCGTCAGAGAGGGTAGGCCAGTTTACCAGAGCCCTGAGCTGCAAACCTGACTTTCTCACATTCACTGTGCCATGTGGCCTTAGCCAATTAGTTCAACTCAGCCATTAACAAAGCTTTCAAAAACATAAAAGCAAAAAAAAAAAAAGTATGCTGGACAGTGATGACGCACGCCTTTAATTCCAGCACTCGGGAGGCAGAGGCAGGTGGCAGGTGGATCTCTGTGAGTTTGAGGCCAGCCCAGGCTACAGAGTAAGTTCCAGGACAGCCAGAGCTACACAGGGAAACCCTGTCTCAAAAAAAAAAAAAAAAAAAAAAATTACAGAAAGAAAAAAAAAAGGAGAGAAGCATTGTGAGCAGGTGAGCAGCCCCTACAGCCAGGTGAACATCCCTCCCTCTGTTTTGGGGATCCTCTCCTTTGAGGGTAAGCAGGCTGACCTCAGGACCTGCTTTGACCCCTTTAACAAAGGGGCAGGAAGAGTACTGGAAGTCAGTCAGTGTTAAGTGCTGTCCTGGGAAGCGGCCCACACGCCAGAAACTTGGTGAGGGATGCCCCTGTCCAACAGTCTGAGAAAAACCAGATCCTGCCAACAACTAGAAAAGCGTGGAATTGAATCTTCCTTCAGTGGATTCTCAGATGAGTTCTCTGCCCTGTTGGTGCCTGGTCGCACTACCCCAGACTCTCACCCAGAAAAACCATGAAAGAGATAGACGTGTGTTTTAAGACCCTGGGCTTGTGGTAAGCTGTACAGTAACAGGTAACAAATGTTACGCTGTGGCACTGAGAAGGAAGGGCAAGCATGAACAACCCCAGCTTGCCTAAGAAAGGGCTCTTTCCACGGGCCCCACTCTGTCCTGTGCTCTCTGCCTGCATCAGCACCTCCAACCCTGCACCCGAGGCCAGGAGAAAGGACTAGTGCCTCTCATTAGAAGACGAGGAGGCTTAGATACAAATGCAAGGCAGGGTATGATGTAGACTGGGGGCTGCAACTGTGCACCCCATCCCCTAGCAAAGAAATGGAGGTGTGGTCTAAGACATCTTCAGTGACTTTGGACGACAGACACTGTGTTTACAGTGAACACTAGACCCAAGAGAACACTTTCCTTCCGGGAGAATCGAGCAAGGTTTTCTAAGCCAATGAACCCATTCTTTCCTTCTTGACATCCTGACCCACACAGAACGCTACAACCTCAGGAAGCCAGGTAGAAAATATCTGAGGTACAAGCGAGTGCCTCTGGCCAGCTGAAGTTCTGCCTTGGTGTAGTCTTACAGGATGCTCGGTAGCAGAGGAACCAGCCCTTGAACAGTCAGTTAGTGACCCAGCAGAGTACCCATCTCCTAACTCTGGGGAAACATGTTCCTCCTGCGTCATCCTTGCAAAACTACGTATAAATACTGCTCAGCCTCTGGTCCAAGGCTAACTCTGTACCTCATGCAAAGATGCTAAAGAAAGAAGTGCCCCAAAACTGAAAATTAGACCTCAGTTAGCAACATTATTTCCAATTAGCATAACTATCTAACAAACACTAAAAGGGGAAAAACTAATTACAGGACTGGCGAGCTGTCCGGGTTAAAAGGACTCTCACAGGTCAGTATAAAAATGTGTCCTCTCTCCACCTTTTCCAACCCACAACCATTACCAGGAGTCCCTTCACCATGTCTGTGGGAAACTTTTCACACATCTGCTGAAGCATTCCCTTCCACCCTGATGAACTGCAGTCCTCAGAAATCTTACCTCAGGGAGATCCCAAACCGACTTCCTTGGAACACCTGTCAGCTGGCACAGCTTCTTTCCGAATCCTGCCGCTGGAACATCAGAAACAAACCTTCTGCACATATGTCCTCCATGTCTGAGAAGTAAGCTTATGCCTAGGCGTGGGTATGCACATTCGTCCTGGCAACAACTCCTCCACACGCCCTTCCCCTGAGATAAGAGCATGTTAATTTTGTTTTATTATGGGATGGGCAACAATGTACTCATTGGAAGAGAGCCCCTTCTTCAGCTCCAGGGATGAGATCGAGTTCATCTTCAAAACTGAAGCACCAAAGGGGTAACCACATGATACAATCTGGCCAATGGGATATAAGAGGAGGTCTGTCAAGACATTTCTGGAAATGCTTCTACTTCCTGATTAAAAGAAATGTACTTGAGAAGAGACCCCGGTGTCCGAGTCTCCTACTTTTCCTTGCCTTTTGAATGTAGTTGTATGGGCAAGTGATGCTTAGAGCAATGGCAATCACCTTGGTACTGTGAGGGGACAAACGTAAAAACGGGAAGCCAAGACACCAAGGGTACAGAACCTAAGTCCAGAAAGAGCTTGGGCCTTGCATGATAATGAAGCTATTGTTGCTTACACAGAGATGGCACACGTCAGTCATCCTGTTTTATGACATAATTGTGGTTTTATCATCTAACCATATGTATATTGTAACAGAACATATTTTGACCAAGCTCACCGGAGCTGCAGGTGTCCAGTCTCCCAGGCTGACTGATTAGCTATTTCAAGCCTTTTTCTGAGTCCCCTCTTGACCTCTCTCCTTGGTGCAACTCATCTGTCAGGTGAAACAATGAAAACCTAAGCCTGCCAAGTCTGCCAGGCAGAACTATTTCTTCTATTATTTCTTCATTCAGTATCCCAGATTTCACTTCACCCAACAGCCATCTCCCATGTTGATTGCAGTTTGCTACAGCTCAGAAATCTCCCAAGAGCTCAGGCCCAGCTCTTTCCCTCATCTGGACCATGTGGACCTTCAGACTTGGAGCTGATGTGGGGCTTTCCATTTGTCCCTTGTTTTTACATTGGTGCTCCAGGTACTTGGTTTGGCCTGACTCCCTAGGCTGTCAACATAGCTTTGACGCATAATTCTTCCATTCTGTCTATTAGCTCTTCTCTCAGGCCCGTGACTGCCTAGAAATGTGAGGCTCATGCTTTCAGTGTACTCGCACTGGACAAAAAGGGCCAGACGAACCAACCCACAACTGAGTAAGATCAGAGATAAACACTAACACAATAGTGGCACTTGGTCCAACATTGGTAACAGTCTACTGATGTCTGAAGACACACCACCTTCACACCCATTTTAATTGGATCCTTTCTGGTATTATTGCCAGGGGGCAGGGGCAGGAATCATCCCACAGGAAGGAATAGTGAATGGAAGCCAACACCATGTCCCATGGTTTAATATCATGGCATGTGTCCGTCTATGCATTCTGAGTGTCTGTCCTATAACAAAAGCTTGTTGGGTCGCATGCAACAAAATACTAGTTGAAAGGACTCCTGGGGGTTTAACAGCTTCACTTTGAAGAAAACTGCATTTTGATGGAATGCAGGCATTTGTTTGATAACAATAGAATACTTTCAGCACGTATAAAGCAGGGCCTACAGCAGCAGATATTTTTATTGTAGACATAACAAGAGACCCAAAGGGAGGGAAAACTCGAATGGTGTCTGTGACAAACAAGTATGTAGAAAATAAAAGAAACGGAGAAAGGGGGGGAAGAAACAAATGCTGGGACAGTAATCAGAAGAAATGCTTTTGAACTGCCTAACATTCGATTCTGAAAAATCCGAACTACCTGTCATAGCGTCAGCTGTCAACTTGACACAAACTTAGAGTCGTCTGGGAAGAGGGAACCTCAACTGAAGAACTGTCCACATAAGATGGACCTGTGACCATGTCTGTGAGTCATTTTCTTGATTGCTAATTGATGTAGGGGGGCCCAGCCCACTGTGGGCGGTGCTGTCCCTGGACAGGTAAACCTAGGCTGTGTAAAAAAGGTAGCTGAGGCTGGGCGGTGGTGGCGCACACCTGAATCCCAGAACTTGGGAGGCAGAGCCAAGTGGATCTCAGTGAGTTCGAGGCCAGCCTGGGCTACAGAGCAAGATCCAGGACAGGCACCAAAACCACACAGAGAAACCCTGTCTCAAAAGAAGGAGGAGGAGGAAAAGGAGGAGGAGGAGGAGGAGGAGGAGGAGGAGGAGAAGAAGAAGAAGAAGAAGAAGAAGAAGAAGAAGAAGAAGAAGAAGAAGAAGAAGAAGAAGAAGAAAAAGAAAAAGAAAAAGAAAAAGAAGAAGAAGAAAGGTAGCAGAGCAAACCAGAGGGAGCAATTCAGTAAACCAACAGTCCTCCATGGTCTCTGCGTCAGTTCCTACCTCCAGGTTCCAGGTTCTAGGTTCCAGCCTTGACATCTCTCAATGATGGCTGGTAACCTGTGAGCCAATATAAACCCTCCACAAGCTGTTTGTGGTCACGGTGTTTATCCCTGTGACAAAAAGCAAACTAGAACACTGCCACATCCATCACAATTTCTTTACATGGCACCTGTTACGGTTGCCAGTTCCAACACCAACATCATCACCATCACTACCGTCACCAACAGTAACTGTATGGCTACCACCACTAGGAACAACGCAGCCACTGCCAGATAACCACCATCAAAGCTGTGATTATGCCCGTACTCACAGCCTCCAATACCAGTACCAATCGCATCATTGCTCCACTGGCCATTCCCAAAGAAATGTCCCAGGTTCTGAAGAGGGCAGGAGACCTGGGTTATAGCTCTGGCTCTGCTGATTGACAAGTAACCCTGGGTGAGTCACTTCACTTGTTTGCATCTCAAATCAGTGAGTGCGTGTTGACTGGATGGAAGAACTAATACGATATTATTTTGTGTCTGCTCTTGAAGCCCACAGACACAACATGTGCTATGAAGCAAATATGTTTATCATTCTCCCGATCCAGAGATCTAGAAGCTGTGGCTGAGCCACCTCTGATTGCCCATGCTTCTCCATTCCTCTAGAGCTGATGATTTTAAACAGAAAACACAAAGCCACCTGAAAATGTACACAGGAAAATGTATGTCTCCACAAACAGCATGTGACTTTTAAGCCTGTTCGCAAAGTGTGCTTGCTCCTAAAATACCAATGGGCTGCTGGTATCCCAACAGTACCTGATATTTTGAAGTTTCCTAACTTGTTTAATGTCTCTTCCCCCAACAGAATGAGACCTACAGGTAACTGTGTCTACCTGAGTATCTTCTTCACCTTCATACACATAAGGTTCATGGTATTTTATTAATGAAAAGTGGGAACATCCAATGCATCAATGCTCGGAATGGTTGAGCGGACAGAGCAGAGAGGCTGGGAGTAAGAGAAGGAAAACCTATTTGATTGAGTAACTGAGTGAATTCATAATCACAGTATTTCCCACACAGAAGAAAATGGAATAATGGTTGATCAAAGTTGACCTCAATACTGCATGGAACACTCTGGATTTTAGTGTTAACTCTGATAGAGCTGTGCCTAAAACAAAAAGCAAAACAACAAAAAAAGTTTTGTTAGTATGGGGTTCAACTAGAAACTTGCAACTTTAAATGGTAGAATCAAGGGTAAGTAAGATATTGCCTCTGCTCATTTCACACAGTGAGGATGCAGAGCCAAAGTCTAAGGACACGACGTAGAAAGACCCCATCTCTCTTCTCTCCTTACCTCCTCACAGGTTCTTCTCAGGGAATGCAGACTCCCATCCTTATCCATGGTTCATGGAGAATTCACCACACTGTTCTGAGCATTTTACATACAGGACATACATGTAATATGAGGTGAGTAGAGATTGTTGTGTTTGGGAAACTGATGACCAGCAAGCCAGGGCGTCAATCTCTGGAGCTCCATGAACAGTGGTGAGCAGCCTTCCCTGTGTACACACCTTTGAGGGACTTGTTTCTAAACTGAGGAGCCTGGAAGGGAGCCAGAACACAAGGGAGGTCATTCAGGACCAGATGAAAATGAGGACGAAAACACACGCAAGATTTGCCTAACCTTGTCCGGGTCACAAGACATCCAAGAGTCCAGATGTTGGCCTGGATCCAGACTGTTCGCTCAGGGGAGAGTCTCTAGGTGTTCACGTGGTTCTCCAGGGAGCTCACCTGACATTGCCAGCACAGCTTTAAAGGGACTTAAAGGGAAGTAATATACACACCAAAAAAATGCCAAAAGAACAGTGGATTTTAAAGTTTCTTCTATAAAATGCTTAGAACATGTAACAACCATGTGAACAACAAATCATCGGCTCCCATATGTACTCAAGATTCATCTTTCCTTAAAATACACTCTTCTAGTAGATGTGCTGCTCAAAAGTTAGACAAAGGTCACCCCAAAAAACAGAGAGAAAGAAAGAAAGAAAGAAAGAAAGAAAGAAAGAAAGAAAG